TCTCAGGACTTGCCTTTCCCTGGTTGGTCACTGGCCATCTGGTGTCTGCTTGAGTATTGCTGTGTCTCTGCTGCAGACAGGACTGACCCAATGTTCACAGACCTCAAAACCTGCGGCCTTTTCCTCCACGGGCCTTGACTTAGGAGGTCTATGGCACACCCCATGACTAGGGTCAGGACTTACTTCCTGGAGAAATGAAACAGGACTTTCAGAATCACAGACAAGGAGTCATGAAAATAACCGTCAGGAATGGATCCTCATGCTGACTCAAGACTGCAGCGGTCACCAGCCACAGCTACGCTGTGTTCAGTATTCTCCCTCAGCTAAACAAAGTTCAAGGGCTGCAGCCTTGGGTCAGCAAGGTGCTGTGTTGTAGATGACGATCAGTTGGCTTTCCCCAACATCATTCTTGACCACCTTCCACAGCCTGTATGTCTGGTTGGTGTCCAGTAAACTACAAGTATGGCTGTGTCTGCCATGTTTATAGGTCTGTCCACAATGAAGCTGCCCCAGGAACCGCCTCTGCTCATCTGTGCCCTGTGGGGGCCTTCACTAACTGGATATCAGTGTGATTGCTACTGCAGTAGTCTTAAGTTTTACTGCGCCCACCAGTTTGCCCGAGCTGTAACAGTCACCTACAGGCCGCTTTTGTTAGGCATTGTTTCTGATGGGCATGCTAATTACTCAAGGAGTGTATGTCCCTGCAACCTTGTGGTTCTCCACCTCACTCTGCCACCCCTAATACAGTTGTGACCCCAACCATAAAGTTATCTTTGTTGCTACCTCTTAACTGTAACTTTGCTACTGTTATGAATTGTAATGTGTTTTCTGATAGTCTTAGGCAAATCCCTGTGAAAAGGTTGTTCAGCCTGCAAAGGGGTCACAGCCCATTGCTCTAACCTATCTCTTCCTTCAAGGCTGAAGGCACAAAGTTAAGTCATTGTCCTAAACCTTCAGTCATCTTGTATCCAGCAACAGCAAAGTCTGTCAGGACAGCGCTCCCATCTCTCTAATGACAACTATGACATGGAAGGCACACCCCAAAGCAGAGGTCCCAGTAGAATTCAGACTGGCCTCTCGAATGGCAGAACAGCTTATCAGATGGCTTTGCAGGATCGGAGCTGAGAGTGATGGGTGGACCCACACCTGCTAAATTATGCATATCCCTTGACTGCCCCAATTCTTTCACTGTCTGACGATGAATCTCTTCTAAGTACCCTGGAGAGAATCCTGGAGGCCACTCTTTACCGGTCCCTCTTCCAAATGCACGCTGCTTTTCATTATTACTCATTTCTTTGGTATAATTGGGGATGTCTGAACACGCATGGGAGCGTGCGCGCACACACACACACACACGCACACACACACACTGTGGTTACAAAGTGAAGATTGTTGCAGTGTGCCTAGTTTCCTACATTAGCGCTCCAAGATTGCATTTTAGGAAAATAGTTTAGTTAAATGGAGTAAGAGCATGGTGGCCAGAGGCTACGCAGAAGCTTCCTCCAGAAGGGAAGGCTGCAGACAAACCGCTCACCCCCTTGCCTGCAGACTAAAGGCTTGACTCCGTGGTCTGGCTGTCACTTCTCTCTCCAGGTCACCTGAGGGCATCTTCATGCGACCCCGAGAGCTGTACCCAGTCCTATGAAGACTGCATGGCGGTTGGCTGCATGCATGCTCTCTTTGTGGAAGGGCTTCTTCACCTTGCCCTGCTCACGCTCCTCTCCTGCAGGGTCATGATGGCCCTCCCTGTTAGTTTCATTACTTCCTACACAGTTCTTGCTACAAAAGTTGCCTCTTGTAACCACGTATTTCCAGACTGGTCTCTTCTTCTTTCCAAGGAACTTAGCACTTCAAAACCTGGTGTTTCTAAAACAAACAGAGCTCCTAGCATCGCAGACAGGATTGTGGTGATATTTTGTTAATGATCTAACCAATAAAGCTTGCATGAAGATCAGAATGCAAAGCTAGCCACAGCCAGGCAGTGGTGGTACACACCTTTAATCCCGGCAGCCACCCTAGTTAGCCATAGAATCTGGGTGGTGGTGGTGCACACGTTTAATCCCAGCACTAGAGAGGAATGTAAGACTGGGAACTCGCTCTCTTTTCAGTCTGAAGATTTCATAGAGGTAAGAGCGCTCCGGTGGTTGGCCGCTTTGCTTTTCTGATCTTCGGCCTGAATCCCAGTATCTGTCTCTGGGTTTTTATTATTCATGCTGCAGGCATATTTAACACAGCTGGGGCCTCCAGGTTCCTCTCATCACCTTGCTTGTTTGTACCATGGTCTTGTTCACCCTGGCTTCCTCATAGGGCAGACGTGTGGGGAAGTGCACTTTCCTGAATTAGCATGTGTCTGTTGAGTGGTGGCTGAAGAAGAAGGTGGGGCTTGGGGAGTTTATAACAAGTCATCCCTGAGTTTCACTTTTTCGGGTCCTCATTTGGGAGAAGCGCTGAGATCTGAGGGAGGTAAGGTGAGCACTTCCTCTAATTCCTGCAGCCTCATCCCAAGCCTTCTTCCCTGGGATATCCCCATAGCTGATGGAGGCTAGTCCTCAATGGTGAAGTCGGTGCCCAGCCTCACAAGGGGTCTCTAGGATGTCATGCAAAAGGAGCACTCATCCTTGTCACTGATTGAGTTCAAACATGGGCAGACTTCGGGCTGAATGCGTTGACCTAGAGTTCAAATACCGGGGTTCCTTGGAGGGAGCTGCATAGTCTGCCATGTGTTGAGTAAATGCTGGGTGCGTGAGCCAATGAGTAAGTGAATGATTATGGTAGCTGGGCCGTGAACCAAGGTAATTGCTCCAGCTGCCTTGCTTCATCCTTTAACAGGCTGTTTGAATGTGTGTCCTTCCCACAAATTTGGAAACTAAGTATTGGTATGTGTAATTTAGGGGAGACTTGTCAGAAACAAATTTCTGGTTTACCAAATTACTGCCACATTTTGAGATAGGGTCTCACTCTGTGGCCCAGGTTGTCCTCAAACTCCTGCCTCAGCCAACCAAGTACTGGGTCTTCAGGCATGAGCCCCAGGCCTAAATTTGCCCAACCCTGCCCTGGCATCAAAGATGGCAGAGGTGACTCAGACATCACAAGGTTATGAGGCTAGCCCTTCAGACGGGGACAACTTGAGTGAAGACTAAAAAGCAGAAGACCAGGAGTCAGTGTGGCTGGAATTTAGAGTGAGGAAAAGGGAGAGGAAGCTCTGTCTTGGAGGGGTGGGAGTGGGGAGTGGAGGGCGGGGAGCCATTATAGCATGATCAGGGCAAGAGCCAACCTGAGGAGTGAAGGTAATCACTCAGGATTGTTGGAAAAGTGAGTGTGGGCACAGGAAAGAGAGGGCAGGCAAGAAAGTTCTTTCTCAGAGCCCCAGTGAGGTTATAAGTGACTGCTCCCTTCCAAGCAAACCCCTGATGCTTCTAGTCAGGACAGAGGGCAGGAGATGTGTGGGAGAATAGTAGGGAGATGAATCTGCCTTTACTGAGCTCAAGGAACCTCTCTACCAGGACAGTGGGTCTAACAGACTGCTGGCGTCAGTGGTTGATTCGGGACCCCTGGCAGTTTTTAGTGGTGAAAATCAGGGAGTGTAGAGGAGAGGAGTCACTAATGGCTCAGGAAGAGCGGCCACCACAGACTCTGCAGGAGCCAAGGAAAGAAAGAATGCAGGAGCAGAGGGACTCCAGAGGCTTAGGGTTGGCAGAAGGGGAGAAGGGGGATGCAGGGGTTGAGAGAGGATGCTCTCCGTTTTGTTTTTGCAATGAAGGAAGAGTGCCCGGTGGACCTTTGTGCCACCTTGACGTGTCTACCAGATTGCCCTTCACATCTGAATGGTGTCAGGACTACTATAGGTTCCCCTAGGGTTAGCTGGAACAGTGGTAACTGTGGTGGCAGTAGCTCAGCTGAGCTGCGTACCTGACGCTTCTACAGACTCTTTTAGCATGACAAGGTTCACTAGCTCCTGTCTGTCATTCTTTATCATTTTTTTCATGTGTTTGAGAGAGAACTGAGGATAATGGAGTTGCAGTTCAGATTCTGCGAAATAGATGTAAACCTGCACGCTACACCCGGTCTTTTTGCTCACTTTTGTTCCGTGTAGCCTTCTGGCATATTGATTCTCATTTCACAGAGGAGGGGAGGGGCCCCGAGTTTGGGAGGTCTGGTGCAGCCGTCTTGTGGAGAACCGGGGTCCTGGCTCCCAGCCAGGCTCTCCCATCCTATTTCACTGGACTGTCCAAAGCCTGGCCACGAGGTTTATAAAGACTCTGAGGCCTTGTGCTGCTTGGTACAATAGCCCTGTCAGGGTGGACACCATCTCCTCCCACGTTACAGACAGAGACTGAAGCTCTGAATTACCAGGGACTTGCCCAAGCTCTGGTCATTAGTACATCCCTCTTCTGAGTGCAAGTTCAATGCTAAAGTGTAGGCTCGCTCCTTTGCACACCTCTCTGTCTCAGTGCTTTGCACACCTCTCTGTCTCGCATCCTTCTTCCTCAGGGTGAAACTTAAGTGCTCGGCCTTGTCCTGAAAACCAACCTGCTTGGTTTCTGGTCCCTTCTTTCTTTACAGTTGTCACCTCTACCAGGTCCCTGGTAGCGTATTTATTCCAGCCACAGCAGCGTATTTATTCATGCTTTCTCCCTGCCATGGCTTGTGCCAATCCTACTATGATGTTTGGTATGGCTGTGAAATTCCTGAGGGCGGGGCCTGCATGTGTTCCACCATCGTGTTCATGGGGGGCATTAGGAACCAGAGGATCTGCATGAATGAACATTTGAACTTGGAATGAGCTTCCCCGGGCTCTCCCGTTACACATGCTTCTGGAAAACAACTGTCTCCTGGTGGATTGCTAAAGGATCCTTTCTGTCAGGAGCTTTTCATTCTGCCTACAACTCCCTTCTTGGTCCCCTTTAGGAGGAAAGAAGTTGTGGGTCTGGGTTATTGCCTCTTGGAGCCCATAGAGCAAATGTTCTTGAATCCAGCTATCCCTTTTCCCCTCTAGGTAGTCAATACCCTGTGTGGAAACATGGACACCATTGGGCCTGTTGGTTTGCAGCCTGGAGAAAGAGCCTCAAGCTGCCCACCGGAGGGCTTGCCAAGGCCCTCGGATAGCTTAGAACTGGTAAGCCTAGCACTGGGTTCCACTTCTGTGCTTATTTGAGACCATCACAGGTATGATGACTAGAGGAATGGGTTGCTGGGCTCACACACTGTTCGCAGTTTGCGGAACTGTTAATCTCCAATATCTTTTCTTTGAGATTCCAAATAACTGCAAGGTGTAGATTGGCCTCTGAGGGAGGAGCACTTAGAGATGAAAACGTAAGCGTTTGTACCGAAGGTTGTCAACTTTAAATGTGCCACTTCTGCCAGCGGTTACACAGATGCTCTACCTGCTCTACAAGGGTTAGCATCTGGAATGGGCCCTCCCCATTGTCTTTAAAGTAAAGCACGGGGCTCCCTTGTAAAATGCTTACACTGTCACTATCTTACACTTTTGCAGACTTACCTACCACAAATAAAATGCTTACACTCTCACTATCTTACACTTTTGCAGACTTACCTACCACAAATAAAATGCTTACACTTTCACTATCTTACACTTTTGCACACTTACCTACCACAAATAAAATGCTTACACTTTCACTATCTTACACTTTTGCAGACTTACCTACCACAAAAAGAGAAGGAAAAAACCCTGACAGAATTGAAACTTTCAAAAATTAACTTTGTAACCCCTTTCATGACTCAGACATCCTTTCGGCTGCATTCCATCCTTTCTTATAATCTGGTATTACCGTTTCTTAGCCCTCATTCTAAATGTTATACTACACACACACACCGTGCACACACACACACACACACACACACACACGCGCGCGCGCGCACACACACACACGCGCGCGCGCGCGCACACACACATACACACATACACACACGTGCGCACGCACATACACACGCGCACACACACACACTACAGACAAGGAGCTGAGCCCTTCAGTGAGTGGCGTCTCTCCAGTCTCTCTCTGGCACGGTTTCCTCACAGGGTCACTGTGGTTAGGCACCAGAGGTGACTAAGTGCTGAATTGGTTTCCTTAGAAGTCAGTCTCTCTCTCCTTCCTTCTGTCCCTCCCTTCTTCCCCATCTCTCTCCCCTATCTCTTCCTCCTTCTCTCCTTTATCTTTCTTTTCTTCTGTCTTGGTCTTGTTTTGTTTTGGTGGTATGAGTATTGAATCCAGGGCTTGGCCACTACCACATCTCCAGCCTTTCCCTTCATCTTGACTAGTATTCAGAAGTCTTCACCTACCACACCCGGGAGCAGAGAATGCTTATGTAAACCATTTCATAACTCTTGGTCTCCATTTCCTCATCAGGAAAGCATAGGAAAATAACTTGAATTATTTGTTCTCCTCAAATTAAAAAAAAAAAAAAAAAAAGCCTCGTGGGAATGAAGGAACTGCGTAGAGGCCATGCCCACCAAAGCGGCCTTGGAGCACCCCGTCTGTGTCCTGTAGTTTCCACCTCGTTTGTTCTCCACCTGCGGTGGCTTCATTGTCACTGAATTTCACACATGCACACACCCCTTTTCCTTTGTGCAACCTGTGCCTCAGACCCTGCTGTAAGAGTTTCCTCCATGTTCTGCCCATAGCTGGGCCCCAGAAATGAGCAATGACTACCAACCCAGGGCTTGTCCCGGGTATCACATCCCTTCTCACCGCCTACACCTTCCTCCTGAGACCTCGCTCAGGTCCCACATCTGCTGTATTGGCTTTGCTGTATGAACCTGCAGTTTGACAAATTCTCTATGGCTTTGCTTGGCTTCACAGGGTTACCAAATGCTCTATAGCCAGGGACCCCACTCAACACTCCTGGCCTCACTTCAGGCTCTTTCTAGAGCCGTAGTTTGAGGGAAACAATCATGTCATCAGTGTCTAGCCACATCTTCTAGTCCCTTGCCAGACCTTCACAGAGGTCTCTTTGTTACCACCCGAGGGTGCAGAGTCAAGCCCTCTGGGATAATTGTGCCCCATGCACTGAAGAGAGTCCTTACTTCACTGAACATGTGTGTCACACTGTTCTGGCAGTGGTTTTAGCCCCTCACAGCATCCTTGCTGTCCTATTACTGTTCTGCTCGATAGAAGAGGCCATTCACTCAAACAGGTGTCAGAGCCAAACTGACTGCTACAGCAAACTCGTTAGAAACAGTTGCCATGGAGACCATATTGGACTCCACACCCTCTCCAGCCCTTTCTTCTCACTCTCCTGAATGAGGCCCAGACCGCCATGACTTTCCTGGGACCACGGAGCCACAGAGGGCCGAGTGGGGACTGAGGTTCTCTCTTGCTCTTTTTGTCTGGATTTCTATCCTGTTTTGTTCTTCTCGGGGGAGGTGCTAGGTTTTTTCCAAGCTTCCCATTGATAATGGCAACATTTTTGAAGTCAGATCAACCTGGGTTCACAATCCACCCTTCCCCTTCAGAGCGTCATGGGCTAGGCAGATGGCTGCTCTCTGAGCCTTAGCTTCCTCATTTTTAAAGCAGAAACAATCGCTCCCAGTGTGCACGGCGTCTGGAAGCATCTGTCCCAGTGTGAACATATAGCAGGATGCCTCGGACTCCAGTTAGGGTGATCTGCCCCCTCAGAAAGCTGCCCCCCTTCATAAAGAGGGTAGCATTGAGGCCTCACGTCCCATCCTCACCCCTACTCTATAGAGCAGGGGTTCTCACCTTCCTGATGCAGCCACCCTTTAACACAGTTCCGTATGTTTTGGTGACTCCAACCATAAAAGCATTTTCATTGCTACTTTGTAACTGTAGTTTTGCTACTATTATGAACCACAATGTAATCATCTGTTTTCTAATGGTCTTCCGAGATACCAGTAAAGAGCTGGTTTGACTCTCAAAGGGGTCTCAACCCACAGGTTGAGGACCACTGCCTTGGAGGGCCTTTGGTCTCCAGGTGCTTCTCAGATTTGTATCCAGTTTGGGGCAATTGATCTTCAGAATAGAATTCCTGTGTCACAGGAGGTGGGGCCTTGGGCAAAAATCTAATAAAGCTGGAGCTCCTGAGCTGTGACCCTCCAACAAATCGGGCTTCTTTGGGTGATCAGGAGGGTTGATCATCCCAGGGAAATTTCCATGCAGAGCTGAGTTCTGTGATCTACCTATTTCTTAAGCTTCTAGTACGGCGAGAACCCAGGATATCACATCTTTTATCTCATCCTGTCAGCCTTTCCATCAAGCTCTGATCCCACAAACACCCCCAAACCCACCCCCGTGCTCAGGGGAAGATCTCATTATTGTCCCTCAGAGAATCAGATGGTGGATTCTCTTCCTTTGTTTAGGTCACCACTTGTAAAGCCTCCCTTACTCCTATCTAAGGATGTGATGGCTCCAGTCACACATTTCTGATCCTGCCTCTCCATTTTCAGTGGCCACCATCAGTGCCAGAACCATATTGTATGCTGCCTCTGTCTTCCACAAAGGAATCAGAAGAGCTCAGCAGGAACCAGACTTGTTTAGCTGTGTGGCAGGGCAGGGTTTGGAATGGCGCTAGGTGTTTGGCAGGGCTTAGTTGACCTGTTGGGAAGAATGGCCAACTGAGGGAAAGGCCACCTCCTGCTCTGCTCTGTGCTTATCCCTGTGCTGGGCTTGTTCAGGCTCTGGAGTCCGAGAGAGGGTTGAGGGAGGTAAGAATTAGGGTGTGAATTTTGTTTATTACAAAGACAGTTACGGAGCTCTGGTTCTGGAGATCGGGGAAGCAATTAATAGCAGCTGGAGAGAGGCTTCACCAAACCACACATTTCAAAAGCTAGATGGTCAGGGTGGAGGATGTAGGCACTGAGAAGCAGTCACTAGGGAATGGAACACAGAGGGAGGTGGCTTCTCTTCCTGGGACCCTGCAGAGGATGCAGGAGCTTGGGGTAGGCAGCAAGGAGGGGGACTAGAAGACCAGAGAGGATCTGGGAGAGCAGCGCAGGGTGCTAGCCAGCCCTGGAAAGCAGAGGGCCTAAGAAGGCAGGGGTGAGTCCGGCAGGACAGCGCTCTGCCAGGTGAAGTGGGAGTGACTCCTCCCACATGTCGGCTTGCTTCTTCTTAGGTACAGCAATGCTTGCAGCAATTCAAAGTGACAAAGGCGCAGCTGCAGCACATCCAAGCCAGTCTCCTGTGCTCCATGGAGCAGGCGCTGAAGGGACAGGACAGTCCTGCCCCCTCTGTCCGCATGCTGCCCACATATGTGGGGTCCACGCCGCATGGCACTGGTGGGTAGCACAGGCTAGGACGGGTGGCCCGGCATGGAGAATGTGTTCTGATCTGGGGAGAGGGGACGTTCCTTATCTCTGTCCGCCATCGCTAAGGCCCCTTTTACTGAACTTCTTGGACTTTGGAAGTTTTCCTGGGAGGCAGGCAGCTCTGACGCTGCCCACGCAACGGCATGTCTTTATGATCTCTAGAGCAGGGAGAGCTCCTGGTGCTGGAGCTTGGGGCTACAGGAGCCTCACTACGCGTGTTGTGGGTGACACTGACGGGCACCAAAGAGCGTAGTGTGGAGCCTAAGAGCCAGGAATTTGTGATCCCTCAAGAGGTGACACTAGGTGCTGGCCAGCAGGTGAGTAGTCACTGCATGGGGGGGGGGGGCTTGAGCCCGCTGGGTGGGTGGGGCGCAGGTGCTCAGAGCTAAGGCGTTCGTGTTGTTCCCATAGCTCTTTGACTTTGCTGCCCGCTGCCTGTCTGAATTCCTGGATGCACACCCCACGGAGAATCAGGGTCTGAAGCTTGGGTTCAATTTCTCTTTCCCTTGTCACCAGACGGGCTTGGACAGGGTGAGCGGGGGGGGGGGGGGGGAGACACGTGGGGCCCGTGAGTGGGAAGAGACTGCAGCTCGTGTGAAGGCCACGAGGGAAAAAAACAGCCCTGCTTTTCTGCCCCCCCCCCCAGGGCACCCTCATTTCCTGGACAAAAGGCTTTAGGTGCAGTGGTGTGGAAGGCCAGGATGTGGTCCAGCTGCTAAGAGAGGCCATTCAGAGGCAGGGGGTAAGTGAGGGTCAGGGTGATGGAGAGCTGCTCCTGCTGGGCTGGGCTGGGCAGGGCAGCTGTAGGTTATGCCTGTGTTTCTGCTTTCGCTTCCTACGCACAGCCTTTATCCAGTTTGACCCTGGGGTTAATGTTGCTGCCATAGCAATCAATGAGACAGAGGTTAAGAAAGGCTCAAATAAGATGACCCTGCCCTGGGGGAGGGGCCTGTGAAAGGAAATGAAAACCCTACGACCAGCCCTCAAGATCCTCACATTCTAGAAGGCCAAGTGTTCTAATAGAAGATTGCCCCGTGTTCAGATAACTGGTGGCAGCAGAGGGCGCAGGGAAGGAGCAGGTTGTCTTTTGCGTGAGCTTGGGGAGATGAGCTAACGTGAGAGTCCTAATCTCAATACTCTAGAAGCTCCAGTCCTTTCAGGCTAACCCCAGGCACTGATTAGAAGTCAGGTCAGAAGGTATAGTTCAGAATGCCAGGCCAGGGTGTGGGTGAGGCAAGCGTGGCTCAGTCAGACTTCAAGGAGGCACCCAGCTGTGGGACCCTCTTCCTGGTCCTGTGGGTAGGAGCCTGCGTGACCCTGGGAGCCTGAGTTGGGGGAGGGGATGGGAGGAGAACCCACAACACAACATGGGGCATGCAGGCATTTCATGGACCCTGGGTATCTCCTCTAAAGCCTTGGCCCTCCGGCCACCCAGGCTGGCCCCGACTCCCTGTTCTCTTCCACCGTCAGACCCACAGTATTGACGTGGTAGCCATGGTGAATGACACAGTGGGCACCATGATGGGCTGTGAGCTGGGCACCAGGCCGTGTGAAGTTGGGCTTATTGTAGGTGAGCCATGGGCCATGTGTGAAGGGTGGCAGCTGCTCGGTGGGTGGCCTCTGATGGGGTCTTCCTTTCCAGACACCGGTACCAATGCATGCTACATGGAGGAGGCGCGGCATGTGAAAGTTCTGGACGAGGACCGTGGCCGCACCTGTGTTAGCATCGAGTGGGGTTCCTTCTATGATGCTCAGGCCCTCGGGCCAGTACTGACCACCTTTGACCACACCCTGGACCGCGACTCCCTAATTCCTGGTGCTCAGAGGTGGTGGCCTGTTGTTGTCCCCAACTCTGCTCTAGGCGTTGCCATGTTCTAACCTACCTCTTCCCGTCCTTCCGAGGGTCTGCAGCTTGTCCCTGGGGGTCCCAGGTCAGACTCAGGGAAGAAAAGCCTCAGAGTACTAGAACCCAGTTTTCAGTCCTGGATCGGTCTAGTCAGCCTTGGCTGGTTTGGGGTTGGGGGTTGGGGACAGCTGAGAGAGATACCCCTGCTCTCCTGGGTGCTGCTGCCTTCCTAGGAGCATCCCCCCCAAATATGACCCAAAGGATCTCTTGTCCTCTGGGAGGTTATTTGTTTCTGGAACCTTAAACAGCTATTCCTCTTTGAGGGCTTACAAAGGGCTTTGTCCATTTCCGCTGTAGGTTCGAGAAGATGATTGGGGGCTTGTACTTGGGTGAGCTGGTGCGGCTGGTGTTGGTCCACTTGGCCCAACATGGGGTCCTGTTTGGTGGCTGCACCTCTCCCGCCTTGCTGAGTCAAGGCAGCATCCTCCTGGAGCACGTGGCTGAAATAGAGAAGTAAGTAAGGGAGGCTGGCCCCTTAGACAAGGGACGGGGGAATCTGCTTGGAAGAGGATGAGGTACTCTCTCCCCAAGGTAGCCGTGGGGCTTGGCAGGATGGGCAGCTCCTAGGTTGCCTTTGCCCCATATCGTGTCTTCCTCTCCTCCCTGCAGTGCCACTTCAGGGACAGCCCGTACCCACACAATCCTGCAGGACTTGGGTCTGAGCCCTCGGGCCTCAGATGCTGAGCTTGTAAAGCATGTATGTGCGGCTGTGTGCACACGGGCTGCCCAGCTCTGTGCTGCTGCCCTGGCTGCCCTCCTATCCCGCCTCCAGCACAGCAGGGAGCAGCAGACACTGCATGTGGCTGTGGCCACCGGAGGGCGAGTGTTTGAACGACACCCCAGGTATTGTGAGAACAAGATCCTCTGCGAGCAGGTGGCATAATGTATGCTTTTATGATATATACCCGGAGGGCATGCTGGTATCATGTGTGCAAGCTGGTGGATGTGAATGGCAGAGTGAGAGTTGGACTGGGCTGTGGGAGGCCAGGAGGCATGTAGGGAGAGAAAAATGTTTCTTTTTCGTGTGTGCCAGAGAGAGGGGCGCCGAGGGCAGTGGATGTATGATTGGTGCCAAGGAACAGGTTTAGGACTGAATTTATTTAAAATGATAAGACCTGGGGCTCCAGCTTGCCAGGGTCTAGGATTCAGATGCCAAACTGAGTGCGCCTGATGTGTTTATATAGGTTCCTCCGTGCTCTAAAGGAGATGGTTATGCTCTTGGTCCCAGAATGTGACGTATCCTTCATCCCCTCTGTGGATGGTGGTGGCCGGGGTGTGGCAATGGTGACAGCTGTGGCTGCCCGAATGGCTGCCCACAGGCACATCCTGGAGGAGACTTTGGCACCATTTCAGCTGGACTTTGAGCAGCTGACCGCGGTGCAGGCACAGATGCGGGAAGCCATGGTCAGGGGCCTTGCAGGAGAGGCCTCTTCCCTCCGCATGCTGCCCACGTATGTGCGAGCCACACCTGATGGCAGTGGTGAGTACCTTGCCTGGGCAGAGATCTGGGATGTGGGCTCCTGGGAGTCGACAGTGTGTGCTAGGACAGGTGCCATTTCCCTGCTAGTACTTACTGAGGGTCTCTGTCCCACAGAGCGAGGCGATTTCCTGGCCTTGGACCTAGGGGGCACCAACTTCCGGGTCCTGTTGGTACGTGTGGCCGAGGGCAGTGTGCAGATCACCAACCAGGTCTACTCTATCCCTGAGTGTGTGACTCAGGGCTCTGGACAGCAGGTACTCACAGTTCGGATCCTAGTGTCAGGGGTGGAGAAGGTGGGGGAGTCCGCCCCCTGACATGCTCCGCCCTGCAGCTCTTTGATCACATTGTGGACTGCATCCTGGATTTCCAGCAAAAGCAGGGCCTGAGTGGACAGAGCCTACCCCTGGGATTCACCTTCTCTTTTCCATGCAAGCAGCTTGGTCTGGACCAGGTAAGGGAGCTAAGAAGTGATTCCCAAGGGTCTGTAGCTCACACGTCCTTAGAACATGAGCAGGAGGCCAAGGAAGGCGATAAGGGGAGCAGCCCTGCTGAGCTGGGACTGTGTACGGCCCGGGCTTCCTGCAAAGACGTGTGCCCGCGGTTAGGGTGAGAGGCATTCAGAACAGTACTGGCCTAGGTTGATGCTGACCAGAAGATACGTCCTAGTTCAGCCTTACCTCTGGTGTTCTGCCATGCTCCTGGTGTCTGTCAACCACGCCTCTGGTGTTCTGTCTTGCCTCTGCTCTCTTCCTTCAGGAAGCAGCATTTGTTCTTTTCTCCAGAAGAGGCTTGAGGTCACACGTTTCTTTGCTTGTTTCCTTCCCAGCTTGGCACATTGCCGAGTGACAGTCATAGGTCAAAAACACACCCAAGACACATCATATTCTTCAACCTGTGTATCAGACGTCTCAATGCCCACCTCAGAAATCTGGCATAGGAATAGCTAGTCTTGGGCCTCTTGTCCAAGCTCCCAGGAAACTCAGCATCTCCAGTTTCTGTTTGGAAGCGTTTCGCGCTGAGCAGCCTGCTGCCCCTGGGGACCTCTGCCATGTCCTCAGTTGTCTTAAGTCCACCACAGTCTTTATCTGCCTACACGCACAGTTGTTCCTGTTTTGACTTCTATGAAGCATAGCTGTTTTCTCGGCTGTCTTGTACACCATGCTCTTACTCCATGGTCTGGATGGTGCAGCTGCCTAGTTTCTCCTTTAGTATGGCTCCGGGCCAAGCATGTTCGCTTCCTTGAGCTGTTCTCCACAAGATATGGGAAGTGTGTATCCGTGTGTAAATTTGGGCATGCAAAAAGTGTGGCCTAATGGATTTTTTAAAATAACTGAATATTAGCTTATGTGTTGAGCCCACGTTCTTGCTAGGGATAGTTCAGTAGTTGGACACTTGTATGTGGGAGATCCTACACAGTCATTTTTTTTTTCCTTTGACAGCTGTGGCTAACTCCTACCCTCCTACCCTTTCCCTCAGACATACACAAACAGCACACCATTTTCCAGGTACAGTTCTGCCCCTGGTTACTAAGTCTCCTTGCTCATGAGAGACTTGCCTGTCTCACCCTCCTCCTACCCTGCCCAGGTGGCTGGCTTTTCAACTCACCCTTTGCTTTTTTCTGGAACAACTGATGGCTGTGCCTAACTCTGAGTATTCCTTCCTTCAAAATGACTCTTGGAATTCTTCTTTGAAAAGATGGATTTGCTGATATTTGAGTCTCTAAAGTTTCTCCATCCTCTTTCCTACATGCAGCAATCATTCTACCAGCTCTGTTCATTCCTAGCCCAATTCCAAAGGACCATTCCTTCTGGGCAAGCATTTTAAAACAACCAGGCCTCAGACCACCTGAGCATTCTGCAGCTAATAATGGAAGACATAGGTCAAACCATTATTAATAGGTTTCTTCACACTGAAAGTTTCCTAGGGAGTTGAGGGGTGAGAAAGCAAGCCCTTCAACCATAGGGCAAGGAATCCTGCACGGGAAGGGTGGAAACTGTACACTTCTGGTGGGTACAGGGTTTGTGAGGCACAATAACAGTCTTGTCTGCTTGATCCTATCTCAGGGCATCCTCCTGAACTGGACTAAGGGGTTCAATGCATCAGGCTGTGAGGGCCAAGACGTGGTGTGTCTATTACGGGAAGCCATTAGGCGCAGAAAGGTAGGAGCCTAACTCCAGGGGTGCTTTGGGGGCTGGGAGGGGAGCAAAGTATCATTTGCTTCCTTGAGGGGAGCAAAGGGGCCCTCTACAATAGAGACCTCTGAGTCCAGTGCTGGTTGCCATGACAACTATGTTGCCCAGCAACTAGCAGCATCCTTTTGTATGCAGGCAGTGGAGCTGAATGTGGTTGCCATTGTCAATGACACGGTGGGGACCATGATGTCCTGTGGCTATGATGATCCCCATTGTGAGATGGGCCTCATTGTCGGTAAGGAGGGTCTTGCCCTTTGTGCTCCAATGCCAGATAATTCATTGCCTTCTGTTGATTCCTTAGGCTGGACATTTCTCTGACCCTGGGGACATGTGATTATTTCTGTGTGACCCAACAGTTCTGGGCCATTGGACCTAGCTAGGAGTCTGGGACCAGGGTACCTCATTCTAGTTAGCTACTGGTTGAGTCATTAGATCTTTCAAAGCCTCAGTTTACCCATTTGGTAAATGAATCTCTGCTAGACTGGCTTTGCTGCTCCCCCCCCCCCCGTATGACCTTGGGTAACTCACTAGAGTCTTCATCTTAAGGTACAGATAATGACAAGAGGTTAAGGGAATAGAATGAGAAGGAAGGGACCTGGCATAGTATAGTGTGCCTGGCTCATGGTGCATACTTGTTCAGCACTGGGGAGAGATGGCAGGCTGGTGACTTGTGAGGGTCTTCAGATAGTGAAGTGTCTAAGACACAGGCAAACTCTTACCCTGGGGCTATCTGGCATCTGGATAAAGGGCTGGGAGGACGCATAAAAGAAGAGGGACTCTATTTCCTCAGAACAGAGCACCTGGAGGGGATTAAGCCCAGGACAGCCTGTGGCACCTACAGCTGACTGACTCCACACCCTAGGGCAGACAGGCTAAGATCAGAAAGGGACCAGTTCTGAACACGTGGGAGACAGGGCTCTAAAGGAGAGCCTTAGGCAGGGGAGGAAGGCTCTCAGGCCCCTGAGCACAAGGATGTTGTGGCCTCTCATGGGCAGGGAGGTGCTTAGGAGACGTGGCACTATCAAGGGGCCCACAGCTTGGAGTTGGAAACCTGTAGAGCAGTGGTTCTCACCTGTGACCCTTTAAACAGTTCCTTGTGTTGTGACCCGCAACCATAAGATTCACTGCTACATCATGACTGTAATTTTGCTAGTTATTAATCATAACGTAAATATCTGTGTTTTCTGATGGCTTTCGGTGGCCCCCGTGAAAGGGCTGTTTGAGTCCCAAAGGGGTCGTGACCTACAGGTTGAGAACCACTGGTACAGACAAAGGGAACGCCTTTCCCTGTCTGTTTCTCAAATATTACTTTCAGCCAACTCCGTGTCCCAGGGCTCCCACAATGCTTTTTTGTTTCTGTTAGACCCCGTGGAAGTACTATCAGAGCAAGCCATTCACTGTCTAACTTCTGGCCAGGCGGCGGGGTCTCTGTCAGCTCCTGGCCCACTCCAGTCAGATTAAAGGCACTCTAGGGTCAGGAGACTGTAGCTTCTCACCAGCAAGAGAGTGGAGCCACACATCTCTGTCTCCCCAGGGAGACAGGGTTGACGGCAGCACAGGGGAGCTTTTGGATAGCAGGGGAGACAGGCTAATGCCGGTACTGGTAGGGGCACAGAGGAAGCGGAAGCTCTGAGGTTTTGGTACAGACGAGGTCTACTACATCAGAAATGTCAGAAAGGGAGACCAGGGCCAGGGACTGGCTTTGAATGTTCGGAGGTAGAAATGTAAGGAGCCTACATTCTGGTGTTTGGCGTGGGTTGAGGAGGAGTTTAGGCAGGGGAGGAAGGCTCTCAATCACCCGCCCCTTGACCCTGGCCTGCCTGCAGGTACCGGCACCAATGCTTGCTATATGGAAGAGCTCCGGAACGTGGCAGGCGTGGCCGGGGACTCGGGCCACATGTGCATCAATATGGAGTGGGGTGCCTTTGGGGATGATGGCTCACTGGGCATGCTCAGCACCTGCTTTGACGCTAGTGTGGACCAGGCATCCATCAATCCTGGCAAACAGAGGTACGACGGAGGCCCAGGCAGTGTTGGTGAGCAAAGCTGATGGGCCTCTACTTCACGTGGACACGCATGCGCCTCCGTACAGGTTTGAGAAGATGATCAGCGGTATGTACCTGGGTGAGATCGTCCGTCACATCCTCCTGCATTTAACAAGCCTTGGAGTTCTCTTCCGGGGCCAGAAGACTCAGAGCCTTCAGACCAGGGACATCTTCAAGACCAAGTTTCTCTCAGAGATCGAGAGGTGCCTGCACTGCAAGGCAGCCGGTCATTGTGGGGGGATGCTGGATGCTGCTGATGGCGGAGGGAACCTCTCGAGGATTAAGTGGGAGAAACCCTGAGAGAGGGAACTAACGCCAGGTGGCCTTACTATTCTGTGTTGTCTCTTTCTGGCTTCAGTGACAGCCTGGCCCTGCGTCAGGTCCGAGCCATCCTGGAGGACCTGGGGTTGACTCTGACCTCAGATGATGCCCTGATGGTCCTAGAGGTGTGCCAGGCCGTGTCTCGGAGGGCCGCCCAACTCTGTGGAGCCGGCGTGGCTGCTGTAGTAGAAAAGATACGGGAGAACCGGGGCCTGCAGGAGCTGTCGGTGTCTGTGGGAGTAGATGGGACACTCTACAAACTCCACCCTCAGTAAGTCTGGGTACGTGGGTCAGGTAGGGAGACATGGCCAGGTGGGCTGAGCTAGCCTGGGCTCAACTCAGCCCGTTGTCCTCACAGCTTCTCCAGGCTGGTGTCAGCTACAGTTCGGAAGCTAGCCCCTCACTGCACGGTCACCTTTTTGCAATCAGAAGATGGGTCTGGCAAAGGTGCAGCCCTGGTCACTGCTGTTGCTTGTCGCCTTGCCCAGATGGCCCATGTCTGAAGGAATCTCCAAGGATGATGGGCTCTCACCGGACTAAGGCCTCAGCCTATCTTGGCTCAGCAGGCCCAGCCACCCGGAACTCCCAAAGAAGCCACGTGTGGCCCCCCTTACAACCAGCTATCCATAGCCAATGGCTTTCTGAGAGAAGTCACACTCTGGTTAGCAATATATATATATAATTTATTTACATTCACGTCCGCTAAAATCCCTACGTGCCCCGGCAGCCGGGCAAGGCTGTGTACATAAGGCCAAGTGTAAGTGCATGAAAGCACTTAAGACAGAGTCAGGACACAAGCTTCACACAACAGGCCCCACACAGGGGCGCTGGGCAGCCCCAGGAATGGGCGCCACGGCACACACACTTGCCATTGTACAGCCCGGGACTCCCATTGCATATTCACACGCCCCGCTGGGCAGGGCACCTGGAGGCTGGGGGCAGGGGCAGGGTCAGGGGGGAGCCTTCGGGTGTCCCTGGGTGGGTGGGGGGAAAAGGGCAACATGTGAGAGGCAGATGTGTGCCGACACCGGGTGTGAGACGCGAGCAGCCTCCAGGTGCACAGCGTGAGATGTGTGTGGTGGGGGAGGGTCCTGCGTGACCTGGAGAGGGGTGTGTGTGACATGAGCACACGGGGCATGCACGGACACATGCCTGTGTGGTGACCGTGTGCCTGAATCCAAGGGCCAGCCCCTGTCCGGCTGGGGCCCTCAGTCCCCCAGGCTTGAAGCCAGGCCCCGCAAATGTACCCCTACCCAGCAGGCACAGAAATGTTTGCATAAGGCCCACCTCAGGCAGGAGCTCTGGGGGCCGTGTCCCAAGCCCAGCATGTATGCACATGCTGTGTGTATGCGGGGCCCCTGGCAAGGGACAGGAGGAGAGGTAGCATCACACGCATATACACGCATACACACAGATGGGCTGGGCTCAGCCCAGGCTCCAGGCACTGTCCACTCTGGGCCCTGAGAGCAGGGCAGAGTGAGAGCAGGCGGCTATACCAACCTGGCCAGGCAGGCCATGGAGGGATGGGATTTGGGCAGGGTCTGAAGGGCCAGCGTTAAGGGACAACTTCAGCCAGGAGGGGGCCTGTCCAAGCAGTTCTCCCCGGTGTGGGGGCAGGGCCCCTGTCTGGCTTTTGCCTGTCCCTGGCAGGTACCAAAGCTGGTGGCAATGTAGGCATTACCGGCCTGGCCAGTCTCAGCACTCGGCCTCTGACACTGTGAAGAGGCCAGCGTCTGGCTGGCCCAGGCCGGCCACGGCTGCTGCCAGCTGGCCGAGGTTGCCATTGGGGAAGTGCCGGGCCTCCCAAAGGTTGAGGATCATGGCCGTAGGGCTGGGCTTGGAGGCAAAGAAGCTAAGATGGCTGCAAAGAAGGAACAGTCTCTGTCAGAGGTCCGGCCCCACTGCAGGCTGCCCCGTCACGCCCCAAATCTAACCAAAGGTGGGTGACACCCCTCAACCGCCGTGGCCACTGGAGGTTGTGGCGGGCCCTGTGGGCCTCGGTCTACCCCTCCTGCCCTACCAGTCCCCACTCTGCCTATCTCCACCCACCTGTCCAGGTGAAGTTTCTGGGCTAGAGTCCGCCAGTCGGCACCCCGGCTGCAGGGTGGGTCCAGGCTGGTAATGATCTTTTGCCGAATGAGGAAGGGGATCTTGAAGGCACTGGGACCCACCAGGGCTGGGACCCCCCCTTCACTCTCCAGAGCCAGCAATTCCGCAAACCTCGTGTCCTGGGTTGTGTGAGGTATGCAATAGGCGCCAGTCAGAGCTCAGCCCACTGCTGCTCCCGCTGGGGGGTTTCCAGACCACCCCAGACAGTGGGGGCAGCAGGCACTGGGTGGCCTCTCCCTTATGCACGGGGCCTGCTCTAAAGAGGGTCTCGGATGCTGCCTGGCCAAACTCACAGTGAGCGGTAGAGGAAGCAGCTTGTGCCGTCCGCCACCCCCCAGGGCCAGGGCCATTGCTCACACTCTGCCCTTACCTCACGACATGCCTCAACTCCGTTCCTGCTGCCCTTCCCCACCCCACTGTGTGCCAAAGCCCTGCTTACCCTTTAGGGCCCAGGTAAAGTCCCTCTCTGGGGAAGCCTTCAGGGTCTTAGGCCAACCCTGCCTCCTCCTGCTCTGTACTGTTTGACCCCCTCTCCATACCCCACTAGCACAAGTCCCCAGCAACTTGGAAGGCGCTGGGGGAGTGGGTAGGGCTGGTGGCAGGTTGGCAGCCAGGCCCGGTGGCGAAGTGTTTCTGACGAGGGCGGGGCACTGGCAGTGGGAGTCCAGCATCTCTGCCCACCTTAGTGACGTTAAAGTTGATGATGAAACTCTGCCCGTCGCCCTCCACCTGCCACACCCACACCTTGCAGGCCAGGTCACTGGTGCTGGGGTTGATACGCTCCAAGGTGAAGGTACAGTGCAGATACTGCTGGGTGCCGTTCCAGATGTCATAGAAAGGAATCTCCTGTGGAGAGGGACAAAGAGGCGCCATCAAGTGTGCCCAGCACAGGACTGTGGTGCTCTGGCCATGGCACGGGCCTCACCTGGTAGCTGACCAGGAGCTTGCTCTTCCACAGGGAGCTGGGCACATCATGGACGGACAGGCGTAGGTTGTGGTAGCTGTCTTTGAAGTGCAGGACCCGAGGCTCCTGGATCAGCTGCCCCCCCAGCTGCTTCTCAAGCTGTGCCACCTCCTGCGGGGCCCAGAGGGTCAGCGAGGCCCAAGGGTGGGGGTAACCCTCTGCTCAGGGTGGGAGGTCAGCCCACGGGGCTGTGTGTGGAAGTACCTTGAGCGCATCACGGGTGTCATGCAGGCAGTACACACGGATGTTGTACTCGAGGGAAGTGCAGGCCACAGGAGCAAACAGCAGAAGCTTGAGGCGCTTGGTGGCAGCCACACTGAGGGCCTCTCCCACCAAGGCAAAGCGGCCGAGCTGCTCGGTGAAGACATAGCAGGCACCCGCCTCCAGCTGGCAGTAGTAGAGGTGTGAGGGTGACTCCTCACCAAGGTGTAGCACATCCTGTGTGTGTGGGATAATGGGTCAGGTCTTCACCTTAGGAGTCCCCGGAGCCATCGGGCCGGCCACCCTCAGCTCTAAGGAGTGGCCAGAGCTTAGGACCACATAGTTATGAAAGGCCAAGGTGGAAGGGATGGGAAGCCATGCTGTGTTTGGGGTGGGTGCCTCAGCTGCTGCTCCCTCCTTACCTCCCAACTGCCCTCACAGGACTGCTTTTTGAGGTGCAGGCTCCAGCTGTCAGGGCTGGGTTCTCCGCAGTGGTCCATGGCAAGGATGACAGGCCGTGTGAGCAGGACTCCTGGAGGCCCACAGCTAACGATGGGACTCAGCAGGGTCTGACAGCCAGCTAGGGGCAACCTCAAGTGGGGAAATACGGGTAGGGAGGGAAAGGCGTCAGTGGCCAGGTCCTATGAGGGTAGGGGATGAGCTTTGGGCAGGGCAGTTGGCACCCTAGGGACAGGAGCTGCAAAGCAGGGTGAGCATAAGTGTGCCGCATCCCTGTCCTCCCTCAGGCCAGGCCAGAAGAGGCACAGCAGAGCTTGTCATGTTCAGGGTGTGTGTGTGTGTGTGCATGTGTGTGTGTGCCTGTGTGTGTGTGTCTGTGTGTGCTTGTGTGTGTGTGCCTGTGTATGTGCATATGTGTGTGTGCCAATGTGTACATGCGTATGTGTGTGTGTGAATGTGCAGGGTGTGCCTGTGTGTGTGTCTATGTGTGCTTGTGTGTGTGTGCATATGTGTGTGTGCGCACGAGCGTGTGTGTGTGTGCGTGCGCGTGTATGTTCAAGTGATTCAGGACAGCAGGCGGGTGCCCTCCCAGCCCCCCACCACAGCAAGGCCCAGGCCCACACCTCACATCTTCTGGCTTGTGCAGTGTGAGGTAGATCTCGTAGATCTTTCCTCGGGGGATGGCATCTGGGGGAATGAGGAGGCTGATTCCTGTAACGGCAAAGGGCCAGGGCTTATTGCTACACATACTCAATGCCCTGTGAACTAGCCAGACCCATGACTGTCTCCTGTAGCCTGCCTTGTCTGGCGACAGAGGTGCTTCAAGGACTACCATACTGTCCCGCCCACATAGGCACAACTCTGAGTCAGGGAGACTCCAAGAACATCTGAGATAAAACAGCTAGGAAAGGGCATAATTAGGAAAGAAGGTACCGCGTACGCTGTCCGCACCTCCCTGTTATCCAAATGTTATTAATTGGATCGGGGCATTTTCTGCTTAAAACCTTCCCCATCTTTTAGGCCTGTCATTTGAGGCCTGTCACTGTCACTCTGCCCAATCCATGCTACATTCAGCAGTTCCCAAACACTGGCCCTGTGGCCATGCTCAAGCTCCTCCTCTACTAGTCCCGGCCCCTCTAAGAGCTGGTCACTTCCTGCCACTGCCTCCACCCTTGCAGGTGGTGATGGGTCTCTAACAGCCCTCAAGGACCAGCATCTACGGCCCAGATGTCCTCCCATTCCACTGCTGTGTCCTGCCCCACACGCTTTCAGGAGCGGTATCGCAGTGTGGGGAGGAGAGGAGTTTGGGGTGGATCCAGAAGGACAGAGCTGAGGAATTACAGAGAGTAGAGTGAGGCCCTGCTCCAAGGATAGGACCCCCAGATGCGAGGAACCTCTCAGCTCATACAGGAAAGGGGACATTCTGTGAATTTGTCCCTAAAGCAGATAGACGAAGCTCCAGGGTATGCTGGGCTGGACCACCAGGCTATATAAGGACACTACAGTCTGCCAATGCGCAGTGATGCTCCACGGGCTTATACGTCCCACTGACGCCACAGTCGCTAGGTCTGTGTAAGGGCACTCTATGATGTCCACCCATCTGTGTGCGACCATTAAATGATACGTGACTGTTTCACAGACAGCTGGAACCCAGAACAGGGAATCTATTGGCCACAGGCTAGCAAGTATTGCTTCCCTCACTAGCCTGTGCTGCTTCTAGAGCCCGGGGTCGCTACTGTTGGTGACAGCTGCAGACAGCCTGGCATGAATGCTGGCTATAGGGAGGTGCATGCACCTGTGCGCTCATCCAGAACGGAACACTCATGCTGGGCACCCAGAAAGCTGAGAGGAAAAAAGGGTGCTAGCTCTCAGTCCAGCAAGGAGAGGGCCAAGTAGACCCCAGTAAGGCGTGCAGGGGAAACGGGCGGCCTCCCACACCGCCAGGGGCCACTGATTCTCATAC